AATGCAGTAAATCCCCAAATATTCTAATCTTGCCTGGTCTTAAAGCAGGCTATAAAGAAATATCACTGACCCACCTTTTCTGATAGAATCTAAGTGTGATTTCTTAGAATCTAAGTCTCTCGTTTGATATAGGTACTTGCCCCTTATTACATAGAAGAAAAGAATGCTATACTGAGGTGACAAAAAGAAAATCATCTAGCTGATCTTGCTGAGTTTCTCTTGTATATTTTCTTTTTATTTTAATATTCTATTCATTATTTTTATGTGTATGAGTGTTATGTCTGCATGTAGGTAAGTGCACCCATTTTGTGCTGTGCCCGCAGAGAACAGAAGAGGCTGTCAGATCCCCTAGAACTGGAGCTACAGACAGTTGTTAGCTGCCATGTGGGTGCTGGGATTTGAACCTGGGTCTTCTCCAAGAACAACCAGTGCTCTTAAGTGCTGAGCCATCTCTCCAGGCCACGGTTGGTTGTATTTTTGAACAGGTCTTCATATAGCCCAGGCTGGCCTCAAGCTCACTGTGTAACAGAGGATCCTGATCCTTCTGTCTCTACCTCCCAAGTGCTGGGAGTACAGTGTGAACCACCATGCATGGTTTATGCAGTGCTGAGGGTCAAAATCAGTCTCCTGCACACTAGGTAAGCATGCTTCAACTGAGTCACACCCCCAGCGCAGCTAGGTCTGTCATCCAGCAGGACCATGGTGGCTCCTCTCCAGCCTCTGCCATCCCTTTACCCCTCACAGTCAAGCCCTTCAGGGTCAGCTGCAGTTATGCTTCCTGCAATCACCAGCCCTTCCACAGTCTCAAGCCAAAGTCCCTGCCCTGGGTCTAAGAACAGCTATGAGACCCTTAAAAAGCTTGGCCTAGGTGGTGCTTGGACAGAGCTGTCCACACCCTCAGCTGGACATAGATCCCTAGCCGAGGCTCCATATGCCCAGTTCCCCCATGCCTTCATCCACGGGCCTCCAGAGCCATTCATGTGTCCCCTTAAATGATCTCCACCCCAGGGGCATCATCCCTACGCATTATACAATGCTCATTCACCTGCCTGTGTGTTGTAAGAACCATGGTGAAGGAGAAAAGAACTAACACTTGCCAGAAAACAGGATAAGACAGAGCACCAGGCAGAGAGGCATGAAAGGGGATGGATGACAGGTGGGGGACGGATGGGTGGATGATGGATGGATGATAGTGGATGGATGATAGATGGATGGGTAGATGATGTATGGTGGATGGATGTGTGGGTGGATAGATGGATGGATCGGTGGGCAATGAATGGATAGGTGAATGGATGGATGAATGGATGGTGAATGGATGGTGAATGGGTGGGTGGGTGGATGGATGGATGGATGGATGGTGGATGGATGGTGGATGGATGGATGGATGGATGGTGGATGGATGGATGGTGGATGGATGGTGGATGGATGGATGGATGGATGGTGGATGGATGGATGGTGGATGGATGGTGGATGGATGGTGAATGGGTAGGTGGATGGATGGATGGATGGATGGTGGATGGATGGATAGGTGGGTGGATGGATGGATGAGGAATGGATGAATGGATGGTGGATGGATGGTGAATGGGTGGGTGGATGGATGGATGGATGGATGGATGGATGGTGGATGGATGGTGAATGGGTGGGTGGATGGGTAGATGATGGACAGATGGATGATGGTTGGATGGGATGGATGGATGGGTAGATGATGGATGGATGGTGGATGATGGATGGACAGCTTGACCCTTCTGCTAAGACAGGATCTCTCCTTGTAGCTCAACCTGGTCTGGAACTCACAGTGATCCTCTTGCCTCTAACTCCCAATGTTACAGGTGTATACTGTCATGTACAGCTCCTCTATCCCCTCCTGCACCTCACATTTGTATTAAAATAATACAGGCAGAAAATTCCCATATGGCAAGGATAGAGCCAGTCAGCTTCTAACAAAAGCACAGGTGGTGGTCACCTTAACAGATCATCGTGGCTCCTCCAAAGCCTGTCCTTTTGTGTCGGTCCCCTCTTAGCCAGGCTGACCTCCAGCCTGGATGGCACTGCTGGCCTCTTCCTGTTGGTGGCTGCTGCCCTCTGCTGGCGGCCTTGGGAGCTGCATGCAGGGACAAGTGGGTCCTGGGCGGAGGTGAGGACCAGCTGGGGACCTCTCAGGTGTCCTGAAGGGACCTTGGGGGTTGAACTCCAAGGCCCCCCTGGACCCAATACAGAACAATCCTCCCCACCACACACACACACACACTCCGCCCTTTCCTCTGATCTCTTCAGTTCCAGCCCTGAGTGCTCAGGCTCAGCAGGGTTCCCCGAGGCAAGCCAGGCTGCTCTCTGCAATTCAGGCCTTGGCTTCACTGCACCTGTGGAGTCTTTTCCACCCAGCAGGCCTGCATAGCCTCAAGTCAGGGGTCAGGACCAAGTCTGGGGTGTCACAGGTCTGGGATTAAGATGCTGTGTCTGGAGGATTCTGCCCACCACACCCCCTTCCAATCCAGCAGAGGTGCTTTGAAAAGCCCGTCCTCTGAGGAAAGGCCAGGGTCCACAGGTAGCCGAGGAATGCCTCCAGCACTCACGGCAGAGCAGACACCGAGAGAGGAAAGAAATGGAGGCACTGGGATGACGGAGGGAAGGCCAGAGTCCCTTCTGACCATCTTGGGCACAAATAAGGGGTGGGTTTGCCTCCAGGAAACCAGTAAAAGCCGTTCAGCGCTACCCACTCTATTTCCTCTTTCCTTTCTTCCTTTTGGGGGGGGGGGGTTATGGCTTTTGGTTTGGTTTTTTATTAATTTTTTATTTTCTGTGTATGTGTGTATTGCCTGCTTTCATGTGAGCACACCCATGTTGTGCAGTGTCTGCGGAGGTCAAAAGAGGGTATCTGATCCTCTGGAACTGGAGTTCCAGACAGCTAATAGCTGCCATCGAACCCGGGTCCTCTACAGAAACAGCCAGTGCTCTTAACCACTGAGCCACCGCTCCAGCCCGTTTGGGGTTTTTTGAGTCTCCCTGTAGCCCCAGCTGGCCTGAAACTTGCTATGTGGGCCAAGCTGGCCTTGAATTCGCAGAGATCTGGGCCTCTGCCTCCCAATTTAAAAAGCCACTATGCCTGGCTTTTTCTTACTTTCCTTTTTTTTTTTTTTTTTTTTTTTTTTTTTTTTTTGGTCTTTTTGAGACAGGGTCTCCCTGTAGCCCCAGCTGTCCTGGAACTCACTATGTAGACCAGGCTGGCCTTGAACTCACAGAGATCCACCTGCCTCTGCCTCCTGAGTGCTGGGATTAAGGCGTGCCCCACCACGCCCGGCCTTACTTTCCTTTTTCTTAAAATATGTTATTTGCTATTTTTATTTTATGTGTATGTTTGACCTTTGTGCACAGTGTTGGGCAATGCCAGAGGAGGCTAGAAGAGGGCATCAGATCCCTGGGCTCTGAGCCAATGTCTGGGTGTTGGAAACTGAACCCAGGTCCTCTGCAAGAGCAGCCAGTGTTTTTAACTGCTGAGCCGTCTCTCTAAGCCTCTTCCCTTTTAAAACTATATTATTGGATCTCACCAACAGACTAGAACAGTGCACAACACGTGGGCATGTGTTTGCGGAGCATGCATCCGATGAGATTTACGCCCAGAACGATAGAAAACCTCTTATAATTTGGCAACAACAAAAAATAGTCTGGATGTGGTGGTGCACATCTGTAATCTCAGCACTTGGGCTCTGGACCTAGGACTGCTGTAGCGTCCAGCTTCCTGGACTGGCAACCTGGTTCTTTCTGTCTCCAACATGGAGGCAGACACTGCTGGACTCCGCAGTCCTACTGTGTAAGCCAACCCAGCACGGCCCCTTAGCATGTGCAGTCCCACTGTTGGCTGTGCTCCTTTAGAGAGCCTGCCCAATACAAGCAGTTTGGTGTGGAAATTCCTCTCAGTGAGGGGCATGAGCACATCCAGAGTGGGGAGGAGCTTCTCTCCGGTCTCATCCCCTTATCTTTCTAGCTGGACCTCAGGAGGCTAGCCTGGGCTACATAATGAGCCCCGTCTCACAACAAAATAAAAACAGTGAATGCTATTACTTAAAAGGGTGAATTGGGAACTAGAGAGGGCTCAGCGGTTAAGAGCACTGACTGCTCTTGCGGAAGACCCCGTTCTGCGGTTCCCACCACCCACGTGGCAGCTAACAACCGTCCAGAACTCCAACGCCCTCTTCTGACTTCCACAGGCATTGCACGACACGGGTGCACTTAACATGCAGGCCACACACTCATACACATAAAATAAAAATAATAAATATTTAAAATGAAATACACCTTAGTGCTTGGTGCGCACGTGAAATGTCCCTGGGGTCACCATGCACGTGAGGTCAGCCTGCGTGTGAACGCTGACGTGCAGTTATTACTGCCATCCGTGAGTTGCCCGCAGCTGCCTCTCAGCCCCGCACACAGTAGGGCTGCTCAGGTAGATGAAGAGCCCAGGTCTCCCAGAGCCCCCCTCCGGGGGAGGGGGCAGGATTCAAGCCCAAACGGGCCATCCGTCCTGAGCAAGCGCAGAGCCACAAACCGCCCGAGGCGCATGCGCAGAAATTACTCAGGCCGCAGGTGCCGAAGCTGCGGGGACGGCCTAGTCAGCCCAGGCGGAAATGGGCACCGCCGCGTGCCTTGCGCACACGCGGGATCCGGAGTTCTCGCGAGATTTCAGATCGGAAGTCTTCGGCGGTTTCTTAGGGTGATGCCCGGGCGCACCGGTCCCACCCTCGACATGGACCCGTTCCTGGTGCTGCTGCACTCGGTGTCCCGCCACCTGTCTACCGGCGAGCTGGCGGACCTCAAGTTCCTGTGCCGCGGGCGCGTGGCCAAGCGGAAACTGGAGTGCGTGCAGAGCGGCCTGGACCTGTTCTCGGTGCTGCTGGAGCAGGGCGACCTGGAACGCGAGCGCCCCGGACTGCTGCGCGAGCTGCTGGCCTCGCTGCGCCGCCACGACCTACTGCAGCTGCTGGACGACTACGAGGCCGGGGCGGCGGTCGGGGCCGCGCCGGGGGAGGCAGGTGGGCGCCGGGGAGGGGTGGAGACCTGGGATGGGGATGGAGGGGGTGAAGACCTGGGGAAGGGGGTGCAGATCCCAGGAAGGGGGATGGAGACCCCGGAGGGAGGTGGAGGCCAGGGCGGCGGGTTTGCAGGGAGAGGTCAGGGAGGCTGGTGGAGGCCGGGGCAGTGGGTGGACACAGAAGAGGCTGGTGAAGTCCATTGGCCACTTCCCCTGCTATGGCCGCTGATCCTCCGGAGGTGTGTCCTGCATCTCTTTTTCTGAATGACTCCAGAGGCGCGGCTACTTTGCAGACGGGAGAACTCTGGGACTCGGAAAGGTGGTGTCTGACAGTAGAGTGAGGGTAGGGTGAGGTCAGGTGCCCAAGCTGCCCTTCTTCCTTCCACACTGGGAGTGTCTGTCCAGCCAGTGGACTTCCTGACCCAGGGACTACGGTGGGGCTAGCGCCTTGCTCTGGGCCTGCGATGAGGCAGGACATCACTACAGCCAGAGTGCATGACCCACTTGCCCTTACAGACCTCAGCACTGAAGCTCTCCACCAGCTCCCTATAACACCATCAGGTGGACTCACCCAGGTACTTTCGTGATTGGATTCCCCCAGTGGAGGACGTAATCATGACAGTATTCACAGTTGAAAACTGACACCTAAAACGCTACAGAATCCAAAACTCAGCATTGACAGGACATGTTGGGACACTTGGTTTCCTGCAGAGAATTATTTAAAGCATTGATTAGGCAGTGTGTGCAAGAGGTCCCTGAAGACAGGGATTGTGCATTTTCTCCCCAAGACACTTAACATGTGTGAATCCAGTAAGGGGTTCTCAGCTGCCACCAAGGGCTCCCTGTCCTCAATCATCCCCCTTTTGGCCCCCACCCCACTCTGGAACCGTGCAGGAATTCCTGATTGTAGCAAGGATGGTCATCACACTCCTCAGGCCAGCAAAGGGCACTCTTTTCACATGTAGCATTCAGTGTGCGGGATTTGAGGGGGGTATAGCTTTAGGGGACCCTGTCCAACTCTTGTTTTCTTTTATCTTGACTCCCCAGTCCCTCCTCGGTTTCCCCTCTTCTAAGCAGGTGGCTCACCATGACCCTGTGGGGCTGGGGCAGAATGGGAGGCATACTGGGCACTTGGCGGTAGCTCCTGAGCTGCTGTGTGAGGTTAGCCCCACACAGGACCTGCCTGGTGCTCAGATCCACATTGGATGGCCAATGAGAATGGGGGGGGCTTCTCCCAGAACCCCAGTAAGTCCTGCTTTTCTTTCCCCCAGACCTACGTGTGGCCTTTGACATCGTGTGTGACAGTGTGGGGAGAGACTGGAAAAAACTAGCCCGCCAGCTGAAACTGTCGGAGGCCAAGATGGATGGGATCGAGGAGCGGTATCCCCGAAGCCTGAGCGAGCGGGTGAGGGAGGCACTGAGAGTCTGGAAGAACGTAGAGCAGGAGAAGGCCACGGTGGCCCGGCTGATGGAAGCACTGCGCACCTGTCAGCTGAACCTTGTGGCCGACCTGGTAGAGGAGGCACAGCAGGCTCAGGGGTCTGTGAGTGGGCATGGGGAAGTGTCCACAATGCTGTGGGAGTCAGCTGTGACCTCAGAAGCGCCTTGACACGCCCACTGCTCCCTGAAGGAGCCTTATCTGCTTGTTTTTTCTCCGTGATCGGTGGGCCTTCCATGCCCAGAACCGTGAAGACATGTCAACAGAGGCAGACTGGTACCCCTCACACAGCATCTGAGCCATTCCAGATCCTTCCTGGTGCTTCACAGGGAGAGACTAGCTCTCAGAGTAGGGGAGCCACAGGATCCCCCCCAGTCAGCCCGCCTGCCTTGTCCTGGAGTCCACACGTCCAAACAGTTCCTCGCCCTAGGAAGTGGTGCCTGGGAATTCTTGGCACACCAGCTCCTTCGAGGAGTGTGACTCTAAAGTTCACTGTTCTATATCAAAACCATCATCTACCTGATAAACTGGGATTTAAAGGGCAGACCACCTGCTTCCAAAGTGGTCTTTAAGCCTCAGGCTGAGTAGTGGCTCACCTATGATCCCAGCACTTGGGAGTCAGGAGGATGAGACCCAGCCTCAAAAAAAAAAAAGCAAGCAAGTGCCTTTACCCTGGAGACCCCGAGTCACAAAGAATGTGTATTGTGTTAAGAACCCAAGTACTCGGGAGCCCCTGCAGCCCAGGGTCTTTGCAGCCCTGGTTGTCCATGTTGGTAGAGTGCTGCAGGGTCTGTTGACTGCCTTCCCACCAGCAGGGGGCACTGCCCGCCACCAGCAGGACCTTGAGAACCTTGTGGGTGCTACGCTGAACCACCTTGGCTTGCTGAGGTCTTAGCTCAAGCCACGTAGGGCATTGCACATTGAACTAGTGACCCAGCCGACCTGCGCTCCCTCCCATCACCCAGGGAGGAGGTAGACCAGCCCCTGGCAGCCTTGCCAGAGAGCATGGTGGTGGGAGTTTGCACAAGACACCATCCCTAGAAGGTAGCCCCCAGGGTCAGGCAGAGAGGACTGGCCAGCCAGCCCCTCAGCCCATTCACTGAGCACACACATGGGTCCACTCTGCAGGTAGGCCATAGCCTACACACAGGGCGCTCAGGCCCAAAGAGCAAGTGTAATGCCACATGCCCCACATTTAGGAGGCTGAGGCAGGAAGAACACAGGTTCCAAGCTAGTGAGACCCTGTCTCAAAAGACAGGAGAGCTAACTCTCCCAGCTGGGGAGGTTTGTGGCATACATTTACTGGAGGGTCTTTTTAAAACAACCCCAACTTTTTATATTTTTTATGGTGCTTTCCATTTTCAAATGCCCCATAATGCAACCATTGCTGTGATCTGGACTGTGGAGGAAGTGGGGTACCTGGACCCCTCACCCTAAAGGGACTATTGGTAAATAGCCATTACTTGCCCAAATCTGTTGTGTGACTTCCAAATCCCTGAACTGCAGCCAGGGGCTCCACAAGAGCCAACACAGGGTGCCTGTGTGACCTGTGGCCCTGCCTTCTAACCCGTCACCTGGTCTGAACTAGGAGAATGCAGTTTTCCTAGTGATAGTGGGCTGCCCCCCAAAACCCTGTTCCTGTGTCTCTGTAATAAAAATTGGAGTCTGGAGAAGCTTCTAGTCGGGCTTGCCTGACAGCTGGGGAAGAGCCATCTCGTCCTGAGTCTGCTTCACAGGGGACAACCCCAGGCCTGCGTACAGGGCAGATCAAACGCCTCCTGGTACCCTACAGCCGTTCTTCCTGCCATGCAGCCTCTCCCTTGGCCCCTAGCCTGCCTCCCTCTGACCCCTGCTGGAGTCAACACCATCTATCTTGCTCTGTTCCACCCTGCTCATCCTCAGGACCTCTGGGGCCACCCAGCCACCCTCTTTGGGAATTTGTCTCAAGCCTCCTGCCTTCTCTGACCCATACCCCTCTGTCCCCAGCCACAAGCCTCTCACCTTGCTCCCTGGGGTACACACTGCCTGGTCTCCCGTGGGTGTTTGGTATGACTGTCTTAGTCCCTATTTTTGGTTTGGGGGTGGATATTTTAGGGGGTGTTTGCAGCAAGGTCTCATATAACTTAGGCTGGCCTCAAGCTCACTGTATAGCTGAGGGGGACCTTGAACCTCTGATCCTTCTGCCTCCACCCCCCCCAAGTGCTGGAATCACTGGTATGGCCACCTCACCCAGGTCCTGAAAGGTGTCAGCAGGAGTGTCAGGAGGGCTACCCAGGCTGCTGCCAGTGGGGGAAGGGCCCTAAGTTGTGGACCCAGGTCATTAAAAAAACCGGCTGGGGCTGGAGAAATGGCTCAGCGGTTAAGAGCACTGACTACTTGATTCCCATCACCCACATGGTGGCTACGAACCGTCCTTAACTCCAGTTCCAGAAGAATCCAAAGCCGCCTTCTGATCTCCGCGGCATTGCACAGCACGGGTGCACTCACAGGCGTGCAGGCAATACACTCAACACACACAAAATAAAGAATAAAAAGCTTATTTTTGTATAGATGAGTCCAAAGTGGATTACCAGGGGTCAGTTCAGGTAAGAGCCACTGTGCTGAATTGTAGCCCCAGAGAATGTTCTCATCTGAGGACCTCTGGGTTCCTGCAAGGTCACACTACGTTTCCAGTCTTCACATGGTAGTTTGTCTGCTCCAGTCTCCAGTCGCTGACCGCAGATGTGTGCCAACTGCCTGGATTTAACCCCATCAGTAAAATCCCTTCTGCCATGTGGGGAGGGGGTGGGGGTGGCACAGACGGACACGTTCCCAGAGGTAGGGTGTTAAGACTTCAGCATCCATCCTAGCCTGCTTTTCTGTTGCTGTGATAAACTGCATGACCAAAGGCAACTTGGGGAGGATCACGCTCCATCATGGAGGGAAGCTGCTTACTGACTTGCTTTCAGGCTTGCCTAGATAGCACTACCCACAGTGGGCTGGGCCCTTACACAGCAATCAGCAACCAAGAAAATGCCCCATGTGACCACAAGCCTACTTGATAGAGGAAGCTCATCGGTCCATCTTCCCAGATGTGTCGAAATGACTACCCAGCCAGTTGCTAAGACCCAATCTCCACCCTGCAGACCCCCACATCCCCCACTTGGGCCCAGTTGTGTCCTGGACTCCTCAAGTACAGACCCCCCCCCCTCCGCTCACTTGTCACCCTGACACAGTCAGAGATGTGCACTTTGGGGTAGGTGGCTTTTCTGCCCCTCCCTGCTTGGCTCCCCCAGGGCTTCACCCCTGTCCTCCATCGAGGGACCTGACTCAGCTCCTGCCCTGCCCCCTCCTGCCTGTCTTCCACCTCAGGAGCAGCCACAGGCCGACCTGTTCCTAGAAGCCAGCCGCCCTGCTTATTTTTAGCTTCCTATTTTGAATTCTACAATCATTTCTGAGTCAGCTGACTGCCTCTGACCACATGGTCCCTGTGTGGACTGTGTTTTAAACCAGGCAGACTGACGTGATAAGAGCATGTGATCCGGTCAGCACGGCCAGTCACCCTGCAGTGGCTGACGCCAAAGCAGGACTTGGCTTTTGTGGAGAAACGTGGGATGGAGACCCAGGGATGCTTGAGTCATGTGCTAAGTGGACACTGGCCAAAGTGATGTCTATCAGCCACACAGATTGTCACCAAAGATTGTGAACCAAAGTCGGGTGACACAGCTGCAGTTATGTTTGGTGGCTGAAACAGGACAGCCTGCTGATCACAGCCCCAGTCCCCACACCCTGAGGACAGGACAGGGCGCTCCCTCACACTTAAACACATGCAGGTAATACATACAAAAATAATTTTTTAATGTTTTTTATAAAAGAAGCCCAGCCCCACTCCCCAAAAGTCCACTTGTGTGGGAACAGGGCTCCTTTGGAGTGTAGCCAGCCCCAGAGCTGGGTGATGGTAACAGCCACAAACTGACACCTCAGGCCCCAGAACTGCGTGCTGGTCAGTGGTCAAATGGTCCGTTGTGTATTTTCCCATAGTTAAATCATACCTCACATGAAAGTCATTGTGCATTTAATTACATTGCTAATTTAAATTAGATTTGTAAGCGTCTACTTTGCCATTTATTAGTGGTTGGCCGTTTACGAAGTCTGGAAGGTCAGAGCGGTCCAGTTTCACAGGTGTTGGACTTTCACCCCTCAAGCCTGCTCCCTGTGGAAGCCTGGGACAGTGACACTCTCCTGGTTGCACAGCCCACACCCTCCAGATGATTCCATCACATACAGGACGATGTGCCCAGCAGAGTCACTGGGCCCCAGCTGCAGGCCTCTCTGCCCCGGCCCCCAGACAGTGAGCCCTGGTGCTCGCCTCCCCACCACGTTCCTTTCCCTGTGCTACTCAGATGCCCTTCTGAAGGCAGCCGAGCCTGCCACCCACTCTGACACTGGACCCCAGGCTGGTCCTGCCCTTCTGGTCCCTGGGGACCACTTCAAGCCCATCTCAGCAGCTTCTCTGTGTTTGCTGAATGGGTAACCAGGAGGCAAAAGGCCCACATAGTCTGTTCCCTGCAGGTAGGGAGGTAACTGCCAGACATGGGTTTGGCTCGGCTCTCAGGTAGAGGTGGGCCCAGAGCTCAGCTTGGGCAGGGATAGTCATCTTGTGGAGCCAAGTGTGTCTCTTGCTGCCCTACTCACCCATGGTGCCCCTGGCCCAGGATCTTCCTTCACACTGCCTGCCCAGTCCCATGAGACACAGCCAGGACCTGGGGGAAGAGCCCTTCCTGAATCACCACAGCCCACCTGTAGGGGGCACTCCCCAGGTAAGCTCCCTGGTGCACACACCCCTGCATTCCAGGTGCTTTGAACTGTGTCCATTCGTTCATTCATTCTTAGCATGGGGCTCACAGCTTACACTGGTTTTGCCCAACTCCTGGCCCTCTACCAGACCCACAGTGGAACCCTGCCTCCCTGTCCCAGCTTCTCACTTCAAGGACCCACCTGCCCAGGACTGCCTGGTCACTCAATGAACTGAGGTGAAAAGAAGAGGCCTGGGTGATGGCACAGACAAGGTCACTGGGTCGGCTGAGGGACTGCATGTTCCAGGATCACTGGCAAGCCAGGTGTGGCACACATCTGTAATCCCAGCACTCAGGAGGCTAGGCCAGCCTGGGCTGCATGGTGAGACCCTTTCTCAAAAGTGAAAACGAGTAGACAGATGACTCTGGTTAAGAGCCCTGGCTGCTCTTATAGAGGACCTGGGTTCAATTCTCAGTACCCACATGGCAGCTAACAACCATCTTTACTCCAGTTCCAGGGGATCTGATGCCCTCTTCTGACCTCCACAGGCATTGCGTGCACCAGTGCACTTACATACATGCAGGAAATACATTCATACCCATAAAATAATTTTTTTGTCTTTTTGAGACAGGGTCTCCTTGTAGTCCCAGCTGACCTGAACTCACTATGTAGACCAGGCTGTCCTTGAACTCACAAGGATCCGCCTGCCTCTGCCTCCCCAGTGCTGGGATTAAAGGCGTGTGCCACTACGCCCGGCTAAAATAAATTTTTTTTAATTTAGTGAAAACAAATCTAACAATGCCTCGTCACATAAATAAATAAACAGGGACCAGGGCTGTATCTCACTACAGTGCTTGCCTAGCATGCACTAAGTCCTGGGTTCCGTCCTTGACCCCATATAAACCAGATACAGTGGCCTCTGAGTGGCAGTACACAGACCTTCTGCCAGGCAGCCTGGTCCAAGTCTGTTAGCAGAGCAGCCCCTCTGGATCGGGGCCTGTTGGCGGAGCGGCCCCTCTGGATCGGGACCTGTTGGCGGAGCGGCCCCTCTGGATCGGGGCCTGTTGGTGGAGCAGCTTCTCTGACAACTGACCACACTGCTGCCATGTTTTGGACAACTTGGATGGTCACATAACTGAAGCCACCTTCTGCCCCAGAGGAGCTTGCTCCAGTCAGGACCACCCTAAGCAACCTACCTCAACCAACTTTGGACGACAAGAACTTAAGAGAAGCTTGGGTGATCCCCAGGTGACCCTGAAACTCAGCTGGAAGTCAGTGGTTTGTAGACCTGGAAGCCATGCTGGATTGGTGCAGATGCAGTGCCTCACCTGCCTGCCACCCACCCTCACCTGCCTGTGGAGCCAGGATGCTGGGAGGAGAACAGCCCCGA